CTTTGTCGCTAGTACTATGACATGGGGAAATGTTTTCTAATTTTGTTCCTGCTTTTCAAAATGGGGTCAATACATGTAGTTATGGTGTAACAATATTGAAAGAAACAGAGAAGGCAGGGAGATTGCTCAGTGGTTAAAGTAAAATCATGAGGACCAGAGTTAGGATTCCCAGAACCCACATTAAATGAGGGGTGGTCATGGCAGGAAGCTTTGGAAATTCTAGCTTTGGAAAGCATAGATGGAGATCCCAGACCAAGCTAACAACACTTACCACATTAGTGAGCTCTAGGTTTGACTGAGAGAGCCTACCTCAATAAATAGTTTTGAAGACGAATTGAGGATGATTCCCGATATCAACCTCAGGACTCTACATGCATGCAGACATGCAGTTGTACCCATACACATGCAAAACAGGGATATCCAAGACACCACACACACACACACACACACACACACACACACATCACAAAAATAAATAAATAAAAACTAAATGAATAAGAAAGAAATGCACAGAGGAGCCTTTAGTCTAGAGGGAACAGGCTGGAGGGGTCTCAAGAATCCCCATCTCGGGCAACTCTGTACATTGAAAATGTCATTTCAGAAATCTCAGTAACAATATTGCTGCCACCAGAAACAAGCTGCCTAGGGAGAATTCTTTAGTGACCTGTCATCGAGGAGCAACACAGCCAGCAGTCAGCCTACACTGGGTTTGCAGTAGCTGAACAGGCTTCCCCAGCCTTCTAATTTATGGTGGCCATATAGGTTGGGAGCCCCCTTGCTAATGATTTCCTCCTGTGCCTGGTGTGCTAGTGACTTCAAAGGATGATCTCTGGGTGAAGGAAGAATCATGAGATAGGAAAAGCAAAACTTTGGGGTTCAATTGGTCTGAGTTGAAATCCTGATTCATCTGTCAACTTGCTGTGGGCTTTTGAACAAGTTGTTAGGACTCACTAAGTCTGTCTTCTCATCTGGAAAATGGGATTGCCATGATTTTAGTTACTTTGGAATGACTAAAATAAAATAACCAAGGCAGGTTGTGCTTGAAGAAAAAAACTTTTATTTTAGCCCGTTTCAGAGGCTCGCAGTCCAAAGGCAGGTGGGCCCACTGGGTCAGGTACTGATAAGAGCCTAATGGTGGAAGGTGTCATGCATAGAGAAGACACTTGGGAGAGTGAGAGAATATATCTCCAGACAGGAGGAAGAGAGAAACTTGGGAACTTCTCCTCTGAGGACACACCCCCAATTGACCTACAGACTCCCCTAGTTAGTCCAACCCTTTAAAGTTTTCACCATTTTAATACAGTCACAATGAGGATGAAATTCGCATCTGTGAACCCTTGAAGGACAAGCTTAAAACATTAAATATAAACCACAGCTAGCACCTAAATTAAAGGTTGTTTGGAAGAACCAATTTAATGACTTTCATTTTAAAAAGTACCTTTTCACATTCTTTTGCTATTATTTTTTTATATCCTGGCTTAGATATATTAAAAAAAACAATTTAGGAACTTCGAATATACCTGAGCTTCATACGAACAGAAATGGTCTGTTTCTCTGTCTCCAGTAGACCAAGTACATGTCATGACTGGCCTCTCTTCCTCTCT